TTTTTTTTTTTTTTTGTTTGGTCAAATGATCTAAATCCATTTTTTTCTGTTGGGGTTGTAATTTTCGTAAAGTTGGCTGTTTGCAGATCGAAATGATATTTAACCTAACCGTCTGGTTGGAAGCAATGTGGCATTCGGTTCTGGCTTGAATGATGTTATGCATTTAATATGAGTTAATTTTCACCAGATCAAGAGGCTTGAATTGATCGTAAATGTAGTTAGACACCTTGAAAATTCCAGACAACACATAAAATTAGCTAGATGTGATTCGTGCGGCAATTAGAAGGATTAATACCTAATTGAATTGAATTCCTATAGGTTTTTTAGTTTTCTTGTAAAGATATGGTTTTGCACATGTTGAAAGATGATCTCCCATGTGTGCAGAAAAATACCAAGAGATTTAACAGAGGCCACATTATCTGGAGCAGGATTATCCATAGTAGCTGCTCTGTCGATGATGTTTTTATTTGGAATGGTACTTTGCTTCTATCTCTTTAATTCAATATTCGAGATCAACTAGTTGTGCGTGGAGATGGGTAATTGTTCCACCTATTTCTTGTTGTTAATATGGTGCTTGCACCACGCTCCTTATTTCCGCTTGTTCAATTTTATCCTATCCTTTTTATCTACATCTGTAGGGTTTTGTTGTTCTTGATCTTTAATTTTATATTTCAGGAATTGAGTAATTATTTGAGTGTTAGCACGTCTACATCTGTAATTGTTGACAACAGTAATGATGGTGACTTCTTACGGATGGACTTCAATATCAGGTACTGTATGTTTCTATATATAACATGTTATGAACTCCTTTAATGAAAGTGGTTTTCGTGGAAAGGAATATTGACCCACGTGTTGTTTTCTATATAACCAATAATAAAATTGAACTAAATTAAGTAAAGTTGTTGGTTGTCTAATTTCTCACTCATCTTCGTTCTTTATTTCTCTGTTTGTAGTTTCCTTGCACTCTCATGCGAATTTGCTGCTGTAGACGTGCACGATGTGTTAGGAACTGTAAGTTTTTATCCTTGAATTTTGTCAGTCGTTTACTTATGCAAAAATGTGTTCGTCAATATGGCTTAACAATAGTAATACAGCACTTGAGTTGCATAGGTGCTCCATGCCGCCAAAAATTAATATAAAACAAGCTAAGTTTATGTTTGTTCAAACAGTATCATCACTTATTTCCGCACGTAGTACCTGACTGTATATTGATTCTTTCTAAACTTCATTTGCTTACAGTAGGCTAAATATTTCCCTCTACAGAATCGGTTGAATATTACGAAAACAATTCGTAAATTTTCTATAGATTCAAATTTGCGGTCCACTGGTTCTGAGTATCAATCGGGGCCACTATTGAATTTGATTAAGCATGGGGATGAAGTAGATGAAGAAACCAATGAAGGTTCCACTGTGTTGAATTCTCGGAACTTCGATAGATATGCTAATCAGTAAGCATTATTAATATCAGGGGCTCAAATTCTTTATTTTTTGAGTTTCAGTTCTTAATTTTACCTTATTTATCATTATGATCAATTCAATTGTATCTTATGGTTCATTAAATTACACTTCTGCAGGCATCCTATTTTGGTGGTTAATTTTTTTGCTCCTTGGTGCTATTGGAGTAATAAGCTGGTAGGTTTGGTTCTGTTGTGTGCTCTTTTGTATATAAATATATGTGTATAACAAAAATCCCCGTAGTTATTTGGAGGTGGATATTAATATTCTTTTGTGAAAATTCTTTTGAGTACTTG